TAGGCACGGCTAATGTTAATGGATGAATATAAATAATAGCAAGCTTCCTACCGGAAAAAAAATGTAGAAAACTTCCGGTGTATCCTTCCGCCTATGTTATGCTTACGAGGCGATGAGTAAACAGGCTTAATATTCTAGGAAGTTTTATTAATGCGATTTATGTTTTAATTTGCGCGTAATTTTACCATTCATAAGAGTCTCCCGTAACTTATAAATTCTAACTGTTTGTAAGATCAAAATAAATTTCAGAAAATTAATATCACAACATAAATAAAGTGTAAGGTTTGCCATGTGTTTAGTGTTTATCCTTTATTTGGTAATATTTGTGTGAATTATCACCGTTATTTACTTTTTGGGTTGCATCTTGCAAAGTATAGAATGCTTGAAGAGTCTTCCAAATCCGTATGTCGTTTGTTTTGTTGAAATTTAAATTCAAAACGCGTTTTATATTGTAAACACTACAAAGATAATAATATTTGATAGCATCCTTTTTCAAGTTTTGGAGTAAAAATCAATCCGAAGTAGTGATCCAGAAGTCGTGAGACAAATTTAACCCGTAACGCCATCTGTGCATAATCTTACACGGTAAATCATCCATAAACACATTTAAATTTTAATAACTCGTATCAAAATGAGTGTTTAACACTTTCGCCGACGATCACGGGACTGAGCGTAAAGAAATTTTTCCTAAAGCCTGTATCAACGTAGTAGCAAGATGATAATATCCAACTATTTCTACAGAAAATGTTTTAATTGCAATTAGTTTAACCCAGGGCCGGGATAGCCTGGTCGGTAGGGCGCTGAGCCCATATCCAAGAGGTCGTGGGTTCGATCCTCGCCGGCCGAAGACTCCCCGTGTAGTAAATGGTGACTGATGCACGTTAAATCTGTCGAGTCCCCCATGTTCCCACAACAAATCAATACCTCTGGGGGTACTGATCCAGGAGTTTCCTTGTCTTCTGGATTGGTTCAAAATTACAAGGCTACGGAGTTGAACATTAGTAGTCGTAAACCCATGAAATTGGGTCGGCTGTTCAACGACGGTTATAAAATAAAATAAAAATTAGTTTAACCCTTTAACAGCCACTTTTATTCGACTTTTATTAAATAAAATAAAAAAAATAGTAAATATTTAATAAACGTTATTTTTTGATGGGAATTACCTTCAGGTAAACGAATTTTATAATTGAGAGAAAAAAATTTCTACTAGTTTAAAAAGTTATGGTGAAATACGCAAAGAGTAACATTAAAATGAAAGGATCCAAACTTAAGATCGCTCTCATGACCAAACCATGGAACCATATTTCCCAGATTGCTATATTTCGGGGGACATAAATCTAAACCTGTCGTCAAAAAAAAAAGTTTTCGTTTTTTAAAGAAAGTATGCTTTCGTATCTTAAAATATAGTCTGCACATTAATTAATTAGCATATTTGAAGTCACTATCTAGAACCATTAAGATTGAGTCCTAGAACGTGAAGATCCGATCATTAGAACAAAACTTATGTGGTCGGATTTTATTTTTTCAAAATTTTTTTGCGCACTGTATACTTGTTCACAGTTGTACACTTTTTTTTCACGCACTGCTTCGTTGACAAAAACAGTTTAGACAAAAAAGTTTACTATCTTAAGGAATCGCATCATAAACTGACATGTATTATCTTCTTCCTGCCACTCCTTATTTAGCAGAGAAGAGGGGACGCTTAATATTCAATCGAATGAATTATAAAAATTCCTGGAGAAAAAAAAATTCGAATCAAACTTGTTTTCAGCTATGTAAAGAGAGGCAGAAAAGACAATGAAATAAAATTATTGTAATAAAAAAATAAACAGAAGAATTTACTAATAAAGAAAATTTAACATTAAGTTTTTAATCCAAAATAAATTAAATATGTAATATAACAAGCGAATTATAAAATCAAACCAAATCAATAAAAAGCATTGTTATCTAGCACATTAATAAATTGATAATAAAGTAGTTTGTTTACCATTTTTCTTAGCTAGTCGTCCCCAAATGTTATTGAATAAACAATAAATACTGATATACAGCACAGATTAAATCGATTTTTTTCCTTTTCTTTTCTATTTCGTTTTGTTTCAAGCGAAATGTCATAATTACATGTAAATGAGATATAATTGACTATTTTCATCCTTTAAAATTCGAAATTTTTTTAAAAATCAAAATATAATGTATGTCCTATTACAGGTGAAAACTTTGAATTTGCTAACAAAATAATTCGATTATGTTAATATCAATTTTACTTATGTTTTTATTTTCAGAATTGAATATTAGTTAGCGTCACCATACGTAAATCATGGCATTTGTTCAGGTCACGATTCAGCAGCAAATCACATTCGACACACACGCGTGACGTCACTGGCTGGTATCCAATTAAATCTGATTCAAAAATTTATTCAGCGTGACAATAAACGAAGCATTTTCGACGTAACGTTAATGAGCTATGCACAACCACGTGATTACCTACAATCATGTGATTTCAGCGGTATTTTACTTCTTGAGTTGCAAGTACCCAATTGCATGATTTTAGAAACCATGTAAATATCCTGTATTTGGGCAATCAAGTATTTTTTAATATTGTATTTTCCCTTTTCAATGATATTTATCATCCATCATGATTTTATGGATGCATGTTATGCTAATGATTCATATAATGTTTAGGGTTTTCAAGTTCTTCGCATTTTAAAAGTAATTATGATGTGTTGGTGGCACTAACAAAGCGGAATTAATTAGAATTTACGAAAATAAATCTTACGAATTCTACATTTTCTACCAATAATATTTTGAAATTTAATTTTTTTTTGTTCTAAGTTTTATTTATATGAAATTAAAAATATAACAAAAGTAAAAATAAATTATAGCTTGTAATTCAGTTTTAAGTTTTTTTCTAATGAATACATCGTATTAAATTAAAAGAATAATATGCAATTGTTAACAAAGCCAAACATTTGTGATTGAATTTTTTTAAATATTATTTACGTTGTGCGTTTTTATTTAAATCTTAATTTTAATTTTTGGCCTTTAAATATTTTTCAAATAAATTAGTACTCATTAAAAACTGTCAATTATACTCTCTAATTCTTTGTTTCTAATATTTATCCTCAGTGAAAGTCTATAAATTTTGTAAAAACGTGTTTGTTAAATTGTACTTATTTAATTTACTTATAATTTTTTTCCAATTGTATTAATATAATCAGTGAGTTCTGTGACATACAGCATCGTAGAACACACTCCAAATTACTTCAACTAACAAATAATAATGCCCGATTTATTATTTTTAGAAATTTCCGACTAACGCTTATTATTTTCAGAAACTGGCTCTACCTATCTTATTCAATAAATCTTCATTTGGACTTTCATTAAATTTAAAATAATTCTCTACCACGAAACAAAACACTTAAGATAAAAATATAAACAAATAATAATGTCTGATTCATTATTTTTAGAAATCTCAATAAATTTTCATTTGAATTTTCATCATAATGAAATGATTACAATGAAAATTCAGTTTGTACACATTTCAATAATATGCATTTTCAATAACAAATAAAACCTTATAGAAAAAAAAAGTTTAGTATTAAATAATTTGTTTGCATAAATAGAGAAACGAGTATTTATCCAATTTATAGCGTTAAATTTGAATTATCTTTGATGTTTGTGAAGTTTTTAATTTGTAATAATCTTTGTCTCTTTATAGATAGAAAACGTGTATCAGGGTTTAGCGATTTTCCCATTTTCTACACTTTTTAACTATGATTTCAGTCAATTTCGTTTTCCCCTTGTCAGTATATTCCAACTTCTTACCATGTATGGCAACGTTACTTTTAAAAAGTAACGAGTAAAAGTACAAGTATTTTTAAAAAAAATTTGATTTTAAATCTAAAAAGTTCTTATTTTAAAAAGTAACGAGTAAAAAGTACAAGTAAAAGTACAAGTACTAAACAAAAAAAGTAACGATTTAAAAGTACATTTCTAGGAAATCGAAAATTCAAAGTAACCTAAAATTTTATTGAATAATATTCTTATGTTCTTTAATGTTTTTGCAAAATTGTTGTTATTTATTTAATTATTTTTAATTTTGAAAGTTATGGATATTAATTTATTTTTAAATTCGGAAGAATATTATAATATAATTTTATAATATAATCGTATAATATAATTTTAAAATCAAATATAATTTTAATATCAAACTTTTTATGGATTTGCACGAAAAAGAAATTTTATCTATTGATTTTAATTTTTAGTTTATTATTTTTATTTATTTAAATTACCATTGATTTAAAATTGTTTTACTCTATAGAAACACTTTTTAAAAGCACAAACATAAACAAAGCAAACACGGGGTTTCAGATAGCTTTGTGATCTTTGAGCTAGTAAAAAATAATTGAATGTGCAGTATAAGTTGAAAAAGAACAGTCTACAGTTTTATTTGTAACAATGGCTAATGCTGAAGTCATGCGAGAAAATCTTTTTCCGAACATTTCTGCCTAACGGAATAATTAAAATTTGTAAGCGAATTTTAGTATCAGCGGCTAAATTAATACCTTCAAGTTTTCAAGAGTTAGAAAAGTAATTATAATAGTTTTTAATAGCAGAAATAGTTCTGAAGTTCTTAGAGATTTGACTGGGCGTTGTTTGACAGGGTCAGGCATAAACATAATTTTAGTTCACTATGATAGTTGCAGTCAAAAAAAGATCAAAAGAGCCGTCTTTTCCCTTTCAGGAATGACAATTTTAAAAGGTCAAGGTATTTAAAAGCTATGTTAGCTGTGAATGCATGTATGTTGCACATTAATTTTATAAATTAAAAAAACATAAAATTTTTTTTTAGAACGCTTACCGAGTTTTAGAAAAAAGTAACGATTTCATTCGACATTTCCGTTGCAAATACTTGTATTTTTTCCCTAAAAAAGTAACGAAAGTACAAGCAAAAGTACTAAATTTAAAAAGTAACGAAGTACAAGTAAAAGTACGTACTTTTTACTTGCACTGACGGTACAAGTAACGAAAGTAAAAGTACTGCCATATATGCTTCTTACTGAAATGTCCTGTCGAGGGGAAAAAATTTTCTGACACTATGGTAAGTGAGAGGGAAAAATGTGGAAAGTGGGGAAATCACGTAAACTTGGCGAACCGAATCTATTAACAAAGAGTATAACATACGGCGTTAATTTTAACAATTCAAAGTGTTCTCGACTGGCTCCGTGTTACAGAACTTGCACAGTTAAAAAAAGAAATATTTCTTTCATGTATTTACAAAAAAATCTTCATTATTTATTTTTACTATAACGATTTCCCTCTAAACTTCTAGAATTCATCAAAATGCTTTCAATCTAATCTAGAAATATCGTCTCAAAACTTCCTTTTTAAAGATCAGTAGCTCTTTTAGGTCAGTGAAGCTTTTTTAATCTGTAATTGATTAAGTGAAGATTTTTTAGAGTCAGTATCACCAGTATCATCAGCACCATCAAATAACATGAATGTCGAAAGTGTGGGGAAGATGAAGCAACTCCGCATGCGTCAGTTGCGTATGTGTAATGTGCGCAATGCTCGTGTATGAGGGGACTCGATATGCGGTCCAAATGTTGTTGCAGAAATCGTGCTGCATCATGTCCACAATCTTGACTTACATGAAGGTACTTGCAAGACACAAATTCGTCGAATGCACTGAAAGATATAGAGTATAGAAGGGTATAGTTATATACAGATATAGTATCTATGTAATAATAGTTATGTTATCTAAAAATAGCAATGAAACCCATCCAAACCAAAATGTTGCCAACATCTTTCTAACCTGACTCCCTCAGACTATCTGTAATTCTCTCCTACTGCATATGTTCCGCAGCGGACTGATCTTTAAGACACGGTTTCCAGCAGATCACCGAAGTCAAGCATCACTGGCTGCGGTCAGTGCGCGGGTGGGTGACCACTTGGATCAGTCTGCGTTGGGAGTGAGGGTGTGTGGTATGGGTCCTCGTTAAACTGTTCTACCGTAAAGTGCTGAACTTCGCGTGCAGGTAGTCGGACTACCGAAGAGGGGATGCCAGCCCCTCTGCAGAGGATCAGAATTGTGATGGCATGTCTTCGGATCATCCTCTGGGATGTTTCCCAGACCGTCGCCAATACCCCATTGTACAGCTTTAGTGAGACGTAAATGAACTACAACTACAAACCCTACTGCACAGTCAGAATTCAATGATCCACATGAATACTTCATTTGCATTCCACCAGCTCATCAAAACACCACAAAGTTCAAGTTAAAGATGAATGGGAAAAGGTGTTTAATGTAGTTCAGTTCGATACTCCCAACAGCCTTGGCTGTAACAAAACAGGTGAAACTGTCATCACAATATATCATTTCTACTCGTCATTATAATTATTGAAAAAAGTCTTTTCTCCGTGTCTGCCTCTTTCCTAATATTATTTTTTGTTTTTAATGCAACAAATGATGCCTTTTCTAAAAAGAATGGTTGGGTATTTGCCCCTAAATGTTTAGATCAGAGAAACCAGATAGTAGTGCATTTACACCTAAATGTATTGATTAGCAAAGAGTGATAGGGGATTTACCCCTAATTGTATACATCAGCAAAAAATAGATGGCAGTGTAGTTAAATCTAAATGAGGATCAGAAAAGAAGAGTGGTAGGTCATTTACCTCTAAATATATAATGCATACCTGCCAATTTTTAATCCTTTCATGGATGATATTCCCCAGTGGTAGTAAAATGAAGTGTAAATTACAATTTTAGGCAGAAACATTTGCTGTATTATGAACAAGCTTAAGCGGATTACAAAAAAACTTGAACTGGAGTAGAGAACAGAGTGCCTGTCCGCGAAGCGGACAATTGACTCCTTCATCTGAGGTGATGCCCGTGGGCGCCTGTAATGGTGTCGATTGAGAGAAGGGTAGAGTGGCGAGCGAAAACGCAGAGGCGGAAGTCACAAATTAGTTTAAACTAAGAGTGAAGAGTCCTAATATATGGTGGTTACTAAGTAGTAAGAGTGGCAATATAAAAGTTAGGTAAAAGGAATTACAATAATAGTATTACATATTAATGTATATACTTAATTTTTTTAAAAATAGTGGTGAATTAAAAATATTATAAATTAAGTTTAAAAATGCAAGGAATATATAGAAAGCATATATTTTACTACCACTTTAAATATAGAAATAAAATTTTACGCCAAATGCGTAAAAGTTGGCAGGTATGCATTATTAATGGATCAGAATCTAAAGGATGCTGGATATGAGGGAAATCTCGGCATTAAGCGCTTCTAACCGATTCGTCGATTCTGTTGAGATATAAAACTAAAAGGTCATATGTGATTCAGAAGTTCTAAGCTTGAAGTAGAATCAAAAAAAGGTATTGCATTTATATTTAAATGTATAGATCAGAAAAACAAAGTGGTACGGTATTTACCCCGAAATGTATAGATCAGAAGAAAAAAAAGAGTTGTAGGGCATTTACCCCTGAATGTTTAGTTCTGTCGGATACTTTCATTACAAAGTTTGTATCTGCATGCCCTTGCTCTTTTGCTCCATATATGATGTGTTTTTTATGCCAGCAGATAATTACTCTACCACTTTCTTTTATAAAAAAGACCCATTTGAATTACTGAAAATCAAGAAAATGTATCGCTGCAGGAACATCAAAATGAAGAGATGCCAACTTGCTCCGGACAGCAAATATATATTTTAAAGTGGTAGGTGAACAACTGTGATTCTTAGTTTAATAAATTCAATTTAATATATTTTTATTCACCACTATTTCTAAATAATTCATAGGCTTATATAATTCACCTCTCTTTAGTACTTAAGAGTTATCATGATTTGAACTGCATATGCAGATATCTCGAGCCGTTACTGCCTCGTACTCCTCCAAATTTCCCGTCCTCATTACTTCCAATGCCATTAGCTTCAGTCGCCCTAGGGCATAACACAGATCAGAGGTCTGGTGCCCGCTTGCGCGGGCAGGTACCTTGCCAAATTACATGATCCAGCAACCAGTACTTAAGTCACGCCATGTCTCTTAAAAAACAAGCAAAAATAATCAAATATTTGCAAAATTTACTTTGCAGTTATTTACCGCTTTTTTTAATTATTATGGCTTGTCCGGAGCAGTTGGCATCTCTGAAAATGCGATTATCAGTATCAATATAATAGGTCAGATCAAATTTCTCAATTGAAGAAAAGTTTTCATTGCCCCTTACTTTGTTCCGGGACTTACATGCCCGCAATCATTCCAAATACTCGAATTGCAAAAATAACATATGTGGCTCGCGAGTAAGTTTTGAGCAAGCAGTGACTTACAAATGTTGAGTTGAGTTCTCAGTTTGACGGTAGGAAAATAAATGATAAACTATTTTTATTCAACATTTCATGATCCTTATTTACATTTTCCGCGGCGATAAGGGAAAAAAAACGATAAGGATTGACAAAAATGAGTAAGGTTTCTTTAATAGTTGTAAATATATTTGTTTACATATTATATTGCTTTCAGATAATATTGGTGTACATACAATATTGCATACATGTCTGTAGTGGTAGTTAAAATTATTTTAAACTAATTTTATTAAATCAAGAAATAAATACCAAACCATAACGCCGCTACCACTTAAATAAAAATAAGTTCGTTACAAATTGGCAGCTAAATTGGAAAATCAAGTTGTGCTATAAAAACTTCAGAATTTTCAAAATTAGAATTGAAAAACTATAAAAATGATAAATGAAACACTATAAGAATGAGATGTATCCATATTCTTGCTGCCACTTTTTTTTTTATCTAAATCATCTCTCGACGAAATGAAATTTTACCTTCGTCGAGGTCAATGATGTGAAAAATACCTGTATAAAGTAAGATGCTTGCTCTTTTATTAATTGGAGATTTTTCCAGTTTTGAGTAACACTTTAATTTTGAAAATGTACGGGAATCATTTTGTTATTTTCTATTATGAATTCTCATATGGTGCACATCAATTTTTGCTTCAACCTAGTATCTTCTAAATCAGGGGTTTCCAACTTGCATGAGGTCGGGGCCACAATTAAAAATACAAATCAAATGGCAGGCCGCAACTTTATCAAAATTTTTTGTAGGACTCTTTTATGTTTGCAGAAACATTAAATATTACTGTCAGAGTTTCACCAAGTTGTACAAAACAAAAGTATTGAATTACAAATTAAACTAAAAAGTAGATTTTTAAAAATATTTGATTGTTATTGATAATATTTTTAAAAATATTAAATAAATAATAAAAATTCGGGCTACAATAACTTAATGTGCCCCTATGTATTAAATAATTAATGTGCAACAGATATCTAAATGTTAAGGTATTAAAACTTACATAGTAGCACACAAAATATTCAATGAGAAAATTGAGGTTTGCCAGCTGCAACCACCAGAGAATTGATATTTACATTTTAAATTTAAAATTTACAAATGTGTGTGAAAATATTTTCGTCCAAAATTCCTTCGAGAAAATTTCTGATACGCACATGCTAAGTTATATTCACAAAATACAAAAAAAAATGAAATAAGAAAGAGCAACATACACGATTATTTTGGTATTTGAATTAATATTTTCTTGGGTGCAAAACCTGAAAAATAAATTTCTTTGTACCGTTGTTATGTTAATTTCACAGAACGAAGAAATTAAGTTTTTATTAACGAGAAAAGTATTTTAAACCCATATAGATTTTCCATATAGAAACCCATATCGAAAATTGTCCGCCAAAAAATGACAACTAATATATTTTAGTTCGCGGGCCACGAAAAAAGGCTTCGCTGGCCGGAAGCGGCCCCCGGGCCGCCAGTTGGAAACCCCTGTTCTAAGTAATAAAGTTACTGTCAGTCTTATCTTATGGACATGTTTTGAAAAGGTAGTTTTTACACTTTATTAATTATAATCAGGAGTTGAAATGCCCCCAAAAAATTTTGGTAGATAGGATGCGACGGGTGACTAATAATGTAAGAAGTGGTAAAAATTTAATTCATTTTTTATTTATTTAATTTATATAACTATTCAATTTTAACTACCACCATAACATAAATTGTAAATTATTCATATTTAAAACCAAAGCAATTCTTGCATGCGTTTACAGTAGTTATCTGCAAAAAATATGCAAAAAAATGTGACTGATTTTGATTATTATTAATCAACAAGTTTTGCATTAATAAAGTTTCCCTTTTTGTAAGGGAAATGAGATATTATGACTACCACCCATATTATCTAGTTTAAGTTATTCATGTACGATGTATTATTTTAAAGTTTAATATCTTGTTAGATTTAAAAATAACTTAATTTCTAGATTTTAATATTTCAAAGGGCACTGTAATTAGAGTTATAATTAGCTTCTTCATTAAATGTGCTTGGTTTTAATTTAACAATGAATATTATTTTGTAAGAAAAAACGGTAGTTAGAAAACAAAATGATTTAGATATTGCCGTATAAATTAAAATAACAAAATTATGAAAAAAATATAATTTTGTTATTACATTAGCAGCCAACTTTGTACGCTTTTTGGTAAAACTTCTTCTAGCGTTAGTTAAATTAATGTTCAAATGTATTTACTACTCTTCGTTTAGTAAGTCCAATTTAACCCTTTGCGTACATTTGACGAGTGAGACTCGCCTTGCATTTATTACCAATAAATAAAAAAGCGGTGCTTACTGTTTTTAACTTGGTTGTTTCCTCATAGTTGAGAATTTAAATAAACCGGATCCAAAGGGTTAAATTTATTTTCCACACTACTTTATAAAATATTATGAAAAAAGCGTAGTAGTTGGCAGCCTTGCATGAACATTTTAAATCTAGTACCTAGCTGAAATCAATTCAGAAAGCTTTTAAATTTTTGAAAATGTAACAAACGTTTCAAAAATATATTATATTGTAACAAAGGTTCCATGTTTGTGTATTCATTAGCTTTAGTGATTATAGGAATCATACCATGCGAGTCATAAGCTATAAAACGGCGTTATGATAATTATGTACCGGGCTGTTTCCATGGAAACCGTAATCGAGAGACTGAGATGTTCTTTCTGATGAAGAATATACGAGATGGAATTGAGATATTCTTAATTTTATGTTGGAAGATCTGTGCTTACAGAGATACGAGGGACTGAAAATTTAAAAAGTGGCAGAAAATTCATTTTTATTTATTTAATTCATTAAAGTATTCAATCGTAACTACCATTATGACTTACTTTGAAATTATTCATATTTAAAGTGAAAAAACATCTTTCATTTACTTTTGAAAGAAGACTGAAAAGAATAGGCTAGAAAAAGATACTAAATTTAATCTCGTTCATTAGATGTTTGCTATTTATTAATCATTACTTTTCACGTTGTTAGTCGCCGTGACATCCATGTGCTTGAATAAGTGCACGTATCTATTCGTCATTTGTGTTTTTTTTTATCAGTAAATAAATTATCTTTAAACTCGTTCAGTAGTCTTACGCATTAAATGAACCCATCATTAAAACAGATCACAACAATATGTATTTTCTTTTTTATAGACTGGTATACTTTTCTGAACTCAAGATATACCTTTCACGTAAATTCTTTTGCTTGAACGAAGTATCGCCTCCAAATGTGTCGTATTAGTTAAATTAGATAAAAGGCAGCATATCCATTAGTTATTTTTCATAGCTGATTTTAAAAACTACCTATATTTTACATCGGTCTCTCAAGTCAAGTTTGAAAAATTCATTCGTTTTTTTCTTTCTTCTCTCTATTCAAACAGAGTCGTTCGAGATGCTCTTACCGTGATGGATAGAGGTTGTTCGTTTTTTCAGTTGATATATTGCGGACAAGAAATTGATCTCTGGAGAACTATGTCGAGTGAATGAGAAAGGTGAGTGAACAAACCGGTGACGTATGGGCGAAAGAAGTCATAGTTCTTTCAACTTTGTTCTCCTGCATCACTTTTCAAACGGAATTTTTTGTTTGTTTGTTCTATAGAAGATCGTCAATTTAAAATCAACGTTTCCTAAGAAAGCAAGAAAACATTTTCAGAAATGTTATTTTACTGATGAATTTGTAGAGATGGCTGGCTTTTACCTCATAGTTGAATAAGGAAAACATTTAATCACATTTCTGTATGAAACATGTGCATACCTGCCAATTTTTATGTTTATTTTTTAATTTTATTTATTTATTTATACTGGTGTTCCTTTAGCCAACACTTAAACACACTTTCAGAGAAAGCAATGGGCTTACTATGCTGTATATGTTTAAATTATTTAAACGTAATGAGATAGTCACAAAATCATTTTAAATCACTTTCATTTAATTAAGAATAAAGTGTTAATGTTTAAAACTTGATACCATATTAAATATAATTGTTTTCTTTTTTTAAACAGAAAAAGCAAAATAGTAATCTAAAGAAAGGAATCGTCAAGAGTTACCTCTCCATTATCAACTAAGTTAATCCGAAATGACTGTAGTCAATCTGTACTTCATATTAAAAACAATGATGGAATTAAGTGAAATTAACTGCCCAACAGAAACCTATCGAATGCTGGAACTCAAAGTTTTGAAGCACCAAAGATTCGAGTGAATATACTCACCAGCAGGACTCTCTGAGTTTTTCGTCGATATTCTGTCTCTGATTGACATTTTCTGAGAGTTCCATCAAATATCGATATTTTGGAGCGCATTTATCTTCCGCCAGAGATACATTCTTGAAGCACGGGGCATGCCTCAGATACGCTATGGAATAGAACACACTCTAGTAAATTACGAACGTTAACAGATACTAACAGTTTAAAAAATTATTCTCATTAGATTTTTAAATTGAATTATTTATAAAATTCTGTTTAGAAAATTCTATTTATAAAATTCCGCTGTTCTTTTTGTTGTTGTTGCAAAACTAGTGTCCTACATGACTAAAAAACTTGCAGAATTTCGTTTATTTTCATACATATAATGTATCGTTAAAGTGTATAATTCAGTTATTTCATCAGTCGATTCAAAATCTGCAATCCATTTTCCTCTACAAGTTACAGTTTTTATGAAATTTAATATTATAGCCAGAACCAAGACTTTTTAGAATTCACTTAAGTGTTTCCCTCTTCTCTGGCACGTTGGACGTGGCAAGAAGCGGACAATATATTTCAGTTTATGATGCGATAAGTTACGGTTTAGAGTTATTTTCAAAGGAGCATACAGGTGTATATAATGTGTTATCGTTAAAGTGTAAAATTCAGTTATTTCATAGAATAACAAGGTATTTCATGTAACAACTAGACAAATCAGTTAAAGTATATAATAGATGAAAAATTTCGTACTTTACTTAGTTATTCTATGGAATAACTAATAATAGACCGTTAAAGTGAAAAATAAACCTTTCTCAAAGTTATTTCATAAATTAATTGATCATAAATAGCTAAAATCTCTCAAAAAATAAATTTTAACCCTATCACGGTTAATTAATTGATAAATAATTATGAAAAGCAGATGATATAATTTATTATTGCTGGTATTAATAACTACGTTTAAAAGCAACGGAATGAAGCGTAAAAACACACACGTCATTGCAAAGCAGCGGTTCGAAACTCTCTAAAAGCAGTTAGAACCGGTTCCAAGAATTTTCGAGTGCCGTATTTCATACTTTAACGATCAAGTAGTTCTATAGGACACCTAGTTAAATCATAGAATTCAATAATTTTACATACTTTAACTGACGCGTCTAGTTATTTCATGAAATACCTTGTTATTCTATGAAATAACAGATACAGTAACATACAACTTTAGCAGTAACATATTATATGTTTTAACGTGAAATCAAGAGAATGTCGACTTTCACCGGTGAATGTTAACAATCACATAGTTGCTTTGATGAATGTCCGAAATATTTATTATATCCGATTTGATATTAATTTATTCGTTGATATTATTATACTTAATCGATATTTTAATATCTGCTGAGAATAGATTAGGAGAAACATCAGTGCTCGGAGTACCTGTTAAATGCATACTGGTCAGTGGCACCTGGCCTTAAAAAGATTGATGTAGGGCATACCGGGCAACTGTATACCGGGCAGTAGCACTTAACTAGACCTAGTATATATTTCTGAAATTTACCAAAGCGAACTATGTGATTGTCAACATTCACCGGTGGAAGTCAACAACCGCTCATTTCTGTCATTAACTGTAACATACATACTTTAAAAGCATCAACCCAAGGTGACAAATTTAAGTAAACAACAATCATGCACATAACAAAAAATTAATTATCATTATAAATTCTTTTATTCTAAGTATGACATGCTGGCATCTCTGTGTATGTATTACAAAAAATAAATAAATGACAGAAGTAAATAGATGTTTACTGTTAATTAAAAAAACAATCTAGAATCTCTTTTTGCTAACAGTTCTTTCGTTTTTCTGAATAAGATACAGCCCTATTTAAATTTTAAAAAGTGAACCTAATTGTATAATACTTTTTCTTTGTATCTCTGTGTAAAAGATTGCGCATTCAACAAAGACGATAAAACTAAGAAATTAATTGCCTGATTAGAAATTTCTCCAAATTTTACTTGAGTCCAATTTTTTTCTTCTTTTTTTTGAGAATTCACTTCGCCATGTTTCCAACTTTTTAAATCTTGTTATTTGAAAGTATGTTCAGTTTCACAGAAACAATAGCTGAGTAGGTGCACAGCGCATATAATAAAAATAAACGAAACTTCCCGAATAACTTTATATCTAATGATCGGATTTTCACGTATAAGGACTCAATCGTTCATGAAAGTGACCTCAAATATGCTAATTTACTAGTACAGACAATATTTTAAATTGTGAAATTTGGCACACTTAATTCCTTTAATAAACATAGTTTTTTTCGATGGGTTTGGATTCCTGACCTTCGAAATAGGGAGGGGGTAGCCACAGTCTGGAATTTGTAAGGTACCCGTACTTTTACAGCATTTTAATGTAACGAAAACGGTCAAATAGTTCCTGAGAAAAATCGAATTTAAAAAAAAAATCTAACAATTAAAATTGGATTTCCAAGGAACTATATGACCGATTTTATTCAAATTTTATATTTTGCTATATAAAATTACATCCTTTAAAATGATGTAAAAATGTGTACACTTGGTGGAGGTCCAGTTTGTTTATTTAGAGAAAATACGCTTTTGTGTTTAATATCGTAACTTAAAATATAGTCAACACTAATTAATTACCATATTTAAGGTCACCCTCGAGAACAATCAAGATTGAGAGTTATTACGTAAAAACCAGATCATTAGATCAAAAGTTATTTGGAGTCTTTAAATTTTTTTTGCATATTGTTAACAAATATTGTTTTGTATAGTGTTTTCGCATCCTTTAAAAATTAAAATTTAAAAAAAAACTCCCATTAAAATGGGCAAGTGAGCGTTAAAGAACAAAATAAAGAATAAAAATTGAAAATCATGAATTATTGCATTAAAAGATAACATCATTAATTAATTTTTTTTCTGAATTAATTATATTTTTAAAATGCATTAATAAATGCTGATGCGTAATTTTTTGCATAAAATAATGACTTAAAAAATTAAGTTTTAAAAAGACAATAATTAAGGAAATACAATTTTCAGTTTTCTCTCAAGCAGAAGCTTTGTGATTAAAATTATTTCTTTAAATGTTCATTTTTAAAGAAATGATCTCAAAGATTAAAAAAGAAAATATGTGAGACGATGACATTTTATAATTAAAAATTTGAAAGCTGAAGTAATCTTCTTATAGAATCGAATGTTTCTTCGAATCTTTTATGTTTTCATTATTGTATAGAAAAAAGAGATTTTTTTAATTCATTCATTTTGCAATGCATAAAAAGTTAATTATTATATACATACTTAAATGAAAAGTATTTGATAGGAAAAGGAATAAATTTTTATACCAAACTATTCTTTTGAAATAAGTCCTTTATTATAATGATTACTTATCATTGAATATAATACTTACTTCGAGTGCTTCGTAATTAAAATATAATATAAAAAAATAATTTCCGCTAATTCGGAACGAAAGAAATGCATCATCTTTAAGAATTACTTCAGTATTAAATACAAACTATCTTATTAATATGTAATAATCAATTGAAGGGTTAGCATATTAATTGATTATAGAATCAAACTAATTAGGTATATTATAATTATTTTTAAAGTTGTAAAACGACTAACGTTTTTAGAAGTAATAATAAATATTTTACATTACCTGATTTTTTCGATTTTACATTACCTGAAAAATCGAATTTTATGAGAGCGAAACCTAACTGCGGGTTAACCCTCTCGCTGCAATTTTTTTTATCAAAGAAGATTCAAATTTTTTTTTTATTTTTATTTATTTATTGTTTTACATATTTGAAATCTACATATATTTAAGAAATAAAATGCACAAAAAATGTTTCTGAAAGGGTGTTTTTTTAATGTAGATTTATATCCTAAAAAATACTTTGTCGGAAAATTAAGATTAAATAGTCACATAAAATCAAAAATTTGAAAATTTATTTTATGAAACACAATGGAATCAATTTAAAATATGAATTGAAATTTTAAAAAAAATCAAGCGTGTGTTTTATTTAATTGAGATCATGGAACTTTGTTATACCACTAGAAAATTCTTTTAGTATTTTGGTTAAAAACCACTTATTATTTTTTAAAGAAAAAAATAAATAAATAAAACACACCCTTTTGATTTTTTTAAAATTTTAAAACTATAACATTTGACAGTATGAGTAAAATATTGAGTTCAAGAATCTTGTGGTGAGAAAAAAAAATCTTCAAAAAGTTTTCTTGGTTAAAATTCATTTTTTTTTTAATTTTTTCAATAATCAAAAATAAATAAACATCAACGTAAATGTTTTTTTATTTAAAAAAAAAATAATGTGGAAATAACTTAATATATAACTGGAGGTCACATAATTTAAACATTAATCTCAGATTAGAAATCTCCCCAGTGTTAGTATATCGTTTGTCAATATTTTCGAACTTTTATAAGATTCTAGTTAAGAATAAATTAGTTAAGCCATTGTTTTGATCTATCGCTTAAAACGTGATCTTTTCTTTAGAAGCGTAAAAAATATTTCTTATTTTTCATAGATATCTGTTAATTCTTTATTTACAACTTCTAAACTAAAAGTGTTAACAAAGTTTATAACGCACGTGGTTTCCGATAAATTTCGGAATACTAATTCGATGACGTAGTCCTCCCATGTCATCCACGATTATTCTTCAGTTTACCTGACATAATAACTAAAAATTAGTTGAATATTAAGGAGCCATTATTTGAAAATCAGACAAAATCTAAAATTTTGATAGTTGCATTTTTTGATAAACTTGATATTTTTTTTATATTGAAGTCAGTTAAGTAAAATTTTTATTGTGCAAGTTTGAGCTCCTAAAATTTTTTCCTCATCTGGAAAAAAATTTAAAGTTCAAGGTATTTCTTTAAAAGTGAAATATATGAATATTTTAAGGGACTTTCTTCTAAACAAAGCAAAAATACCCCAAAATTTTGTTTTGATGTATTACTAATACACCGCTCCCTAGTTATGCACACGCACTCGTTTACATGAGGCATTATTGCTTTTCAGAGTTATGCTCTATCAAAGTTAGTGAGATATTGAGTTTTTGGCGTTTTTCCGCTCTGAAAATCTTGGTTAAACAATTGCACCCCAAAAATTGTTTTACTGAACATCAAAGTTAACTCTTAAGACAAACTCTGTGATCCAGCACTTTTCTGGGTTATTGATGCTTTTCGTAGATATAGTCATCATTTCGTACATAATTTCTTTGAATGGTTATACCTCAACTTATTTCTTTGGTGGTTATACCTTAAAAAGAAAAAAAAGCTAGTGCAACTTTGAAAGTTTAATATTACCGTCTTGTATGGGTCCTGGTACACAAAGTTCTAGGAGAACTTGTCGAGCACCAGCTACAACATGATTGAATACTTTTCTTTGGGTAGGAGAGAAGCAATGTTTCATGTGTTCATCCACACACAATACACTATCCTTAAGTGTACTGTAAAGAAAGAAAAATGAACAATAAAACAATTGCAAAAATCAAACGAAAGGACATAAAAAGAAGAAAAGAAAACAAATGCTAGAATATAAAATCAGTCACACGAGGAAAAAAATGACGTTATCAGATTTCCCGTCGTCCCGGTAGATACAATTTACAATCCAGCGGCCTTTAACAACTCGGCTGTAGTTGGTCGCAATTATAACGCAAACTTTTATTTCTTTTAAAATTATTTACCTGGAACTAAAAAAAGAGACAAGTATTAAGTTATTTTTTTTAATTTATTTAAAAAATTGCCAAGCATAAGAAAGCTGCAGGGCCGGAATATCTCGCCTGCCCCGATAGCAGAAATTCTCCAGCACACAGATTATTAGAGATTCTGCAGAATATTTTGGTTATCTATAGATATAGAATATAGATAATAATACTAAAATATAATAATAATAAAATAATACAAAAATATAATAATAATAAAATAATACAAAAATATAATAATAATAAAATAATAATAAAATATAATAATAATGATAAAATAAATAATACTAAAATATAATAATAATAAAATAATACTAAAATACAATAATAATAAAATAATACAGAAATATAATAATAATAAAATAATAATGAAATATAATAATAATAAAATA